CCCCAAAACCCCAAAACCCCAAAACCCCTCTTCAATGAATTATGTTTATTTCAAGATTATTAATGAAATAATATTTTTAAGATCATACTTATATTAAGATTAATCTATTAATTTCATTTTCCAAAATCATTATATAAGTTGTACCGGAAAGCAATGCTGATTTCATATATATAATTTATCTTCTTTCAAAACTACCTTAGTTTTAGTTTAGGAAGCTCTGACCTGCGTTTATTCTATAAACTTCTTGTAGCAATTTCAGGATCGTTAAAGAAATTATTCATTTTGATTGATGGTTATTCAAGTTTTGATTTGTGTTGATTCTTCTTAAGGGGAGAATCTTCGCTACTCAATTTAGTCTCACTTTACATAGCATGGTCCAAAAACATTGATTTGCGTTCATTTTTCATTAATTTATTTTGGATTTAATGCTGTTTCAACTGTTACTCCAATTTATTTAATCTATCATCTCGAGTTACAGAAGGAGTGCGAGTATGGGTATTCGCATACTCATACACCATATCCTACTCTTCTTCATTCAAAGCTTTTGCTTCTTCATTCCTGTTTTACTCAAATTTGATTATTGCATTTTGAAAGTTTTAATTGGCATTTAAGCGTATTCCCACGTTTTAGCCAAATTAAGGATCATTTATTTCAGATTAAGCATTATTGCCATCTCTAACCTCTCAGAGTTTTAATCTAGCCTTACGAATTCTCCAAATTACATAGAACAGAGCAATGAGAACAAGTAGTACAATAACTGCAGTGAATATTCCAATCAAAAAATTTGCCCAAGCAGGCTAAGATTTCGGCAAAACAACATCATCTTTTTCAGAAGTGGGTTTAACGTATGATTCAGATTCTGGTAAGCCTCTAAATTTCCAATTACTAAGTTAAAGCTATTTTTGGTTCATTAGGAATGTAAATGAGAGTTTAAAGTTTATATATTTTCATTATTTTATCACTCATAAAATTTATTATGATATTTACAATTTTTACGGATTAATTAAGCTATAGGGGTTTTGGGGTTTTGGGGTTTTGGGG